GCCGCCTTAGCGTGCGAAGGCACACTTTGAAGGCGGCCAGGGCCGGCAGCACGTACTCTTGGTTGGATACGGTACAGGGATAGTCATTAAGGACTTCGGTTATTTCCGTTCTCCGTTGCTTTTCAGCATTACATGTCAGGCGTTCGTGTGTCGTGTGGCTCAAGCTGCGCAGTCTGCTGATCGCTTACGCGCTCAGCTGTTACGTGCGATCTGGCGGTGAGGGCAAACACGACTTACATGGCCAGGGTAGGGGTTGTCAAGCGTTGATATGTGCGTTGCTCAGTAAGCAAACATATCTGTTTCATTTCTATGAGGCGACTGCATTATGGTGATAGATATTGGATGCATTGATGAATACAGTTACGAGGTTTGGAGGCCAAGCCATCTCGGTAAATTATACAGTCTACTCTAGTTTGGTTTTGTCGTCCTTGGAGAAGGTCGCTGCGCCTCCCTTGTAGAATGCTGCTCCATCTAAAGTGCAATTTTAGTGCGAATCACGAGCGTTGCGGGAAAATGTCTGCCTGAATTCGGCGTCGTACCACATTTTGCATTTAACCTACGCCATGGCATCAATAATTGTGCATAATACCATGATTATTGAGGATGCTCAACAATCGGCCTATATTGACTGATAGTTGAGTAGAAGTAAGATTAAAAGCAAGCTGCTTGAATTGCGTGAGTAAAAGTGCGCTGTCAAAATAACGTTGAGGATGAGTTTGTTCTAATAGTGGTGTAGCAAATGCATGTGTCATTCATAGAACCGCTACATGTATGTTTATCATATTTTTGTTGCACAGCCTGAGGTGCGCGTAAATTTCTCTGTAATGGATGCATGTTATATTAGGTGTCATTTTAATTTTACGTGAACTAGTTCTTCAGCGTGCTAAATGACCAGCCTACAAAGAAGTTTGAATTATTTGCGTAAGATTGCGCAGCATTCAATTTCACCATTTCCTGCTGCACACAGCGATACACGTGAGACCTGAAACCCTTGCAACCTAAATGTCCGATTTGATTTCGAATCGTCGAATTTCCTGCAATGGTAGAAGAGCGCAGCTACATAATTAAAAATAAAATACCACACGAATGAATCTCAAACTGTTTCGAAATATTGTCCAAAAGGCCCAGTGCCGTCAAAAACGATACCACTTTTCCAATTAATGGTGCCATGTGTTTGTCAAAGTTTAGCCAAGGATGACTGCTTTTTATGTCACAGGTGACATAATTCGACACAAATGATTAAGGGGCAATTTACAGACATCGTCTTTGTACAAGTTTTTTGCCTGCAGGGTGAAAAACGCCCGCCAAAAAGTATATTTTTGCGCAAAGACACCAATGATCGGGCCGTAAGCCCGACGACGACAGAGCGCTCAAAGCATTTTGGCCGCGTTCGTAGTGTTGCGAAATGCGTCGTGGCATGTTCGTCTTCCAGGACAAGTGGTCTTATGTGGTCCGCCAACGAGGGTCGTTTAGCCGTTAGCTTGATGGTGTAAGCTTGGTTACAGGGCAGCCCACGGCCGTGCAATCGCATTGCACATTAAATGACCTTTCATGCTATTCGGATAAGAGGCCGAGGCAAAGTGGATCTGTTGACGATGTATTACAGTTATGGGATGGCTAATTAACACACGCTCGGGTAGGGGTGGGGCTCAAATTGACCCCCCCCCCCGAAGGTTTTTTTCCAAAATGGTTTCCAAACGGCGCGGCTTAGCCGCGCCAAATTTTGCGTTGCTGTAGACAATTGAGTTGAGAATAGTCGGGCACCAAAAATGGAGATGTACCTTTTAAGGTCGCTGACCTATGGTCGGTCAAAGTCGGGCCATGGTTTCAGCGAAGGCAATTTCTAGGGAGTCGTTCAATCTGATCCAATAAGTGTTAGACGAGGCCCACCTTTCCGAGATACTTTGTCAGGTAACATAACAACTGAGTGAACAAGTTACATTATCTAGGGTCAGGTATAAAGGTTAGACCAAAGGCAAAACCAGCTTGTATTATTACACTGGGGCTTGCTTTCTGAGGTGATTTCTGGCGCCCATTTCCAATTTGTTCATAACAGGAACCACATTATACACCCTTCACGGACTTCTTTAAGACCACAGCAGGTCATTGACCAAAAATGACTCGGGTCAGCATTTTGTTCTTAGGAACATGCTGCCTAACGTAATCTTAGTCGCTTTTTCAAATGCAAAACTTAATGCAGTCTCGTCTGATCTTAGTCACCATGGTCTTTAAAGACTAAAAAAGGTCACTGACCTTAAATGAGCGTGTGCCCTTTTGCATAGAACAGTTACCTTGGTTTTAGGGGCCCTTTGAAAACTAACCTGGAATTTGACCTTGTTTGACCTTACTCAACGCGAAGGTCATGACCTAGGAACTTCAAACTTTGGCCTCAATGAGTTCACGTACAGGTCAAGACATCCTGTGAATTTAGTGTTTCTAGCTCTCTTAGTTCCTGAGATCTCAGGAGGTTCAATCTGACCTCCCACCCGAGCGAAGGGCGTCGAATCGGCCACCCGGGCGTGTGTCAAAAGTGACAGCGAGGCTCCATGTTCGGCATGGAACCATATCAAAAATCTATCTTGGCAACATTTTTCTTTTCTGCGTGGTTTTTCATTTTGACTGCTCTGAATCCATCATTTAAACTATATATTGATGAAATAAAAAGTTGCAACTTAGTTGTGATGTCTCTGAAAAATTACAACAAAGAATAAGGGGCGCCAGCATCATGCTTGGATGCGGACAAAAGCTAACGTTTGACGGACAGAAAATCTCAAATTATAAGGTGGTTAACCCCAATGTTTAAAGCTTCCCCTCCACTGGGACGTAATATTGAGGTTGCGGCTTCATGTTCTTCAGCTGTACCCTCCATAGCAACGCCACTACAAGGAGGACAACGTCACTACAAGAATGAAAGAAGATCGTCTTTGTATAATTGTCATCTCTTTTCTACGTTTTTGTAATGTTCCATCCCAAAATATGGAAAGGCCAAGCTAACACTGGGGGAAGGGGTAAATCCACATGGGGGGGGGGGGGGGCAGAACACTCACAAAAGAAAACAAATAGACACCCGTGTCCAAAATGTCTCTACAAAATCAAAAAGTGGCCCCCAATGCCTGCAAAGTGAATCCCGAGCATATATAATCAGGCCGATACGCGACGAAGAGAGGCCTAATGACGGGAAAAGCCTCTATAACCCAATTTGTCCTCCTCTTGCCCCCTCCGAGCTCCGCCATTCTGGAGATGATGATGATTTGTGTCTATGGTGATGTGTAGCAGGCATAGGGCAGTTGCTGCTGTTGCCGTAGTAGTTGCATGTTGTTTTGCTGCACGGCCTGCTCTGTCTCGCGCGCTACCTGCGATCCGTCACTGGGTAACCAGCGTCCTCCGGTGATTGCTGGACCCAGTGGCGCGTGACCCGATCAGCCGCCAATCTAGGTCAGGCCCGTGACCTTCGTCTGCCGCCACGGCCGCAGCGCTGGACGATGGTGCAGGCCTGGAGTCGGAGCGAGCCGTGGCGTCGGGTGTGCTCAAGTTCAGCCGCGACTCGGCCGTGCCGCGGCTGCTGGCAAGCTGCCTGACAGAGGGTTACGACCCGTACAACTGGGGACACAACGGGCCCGGCGTCGTCACCGAGGTGCTCATCGAGGGCTGTGGCCTCCGACACCCGCCGTTGACGACCACCCACTGCGGAAACTACACCATCTACGGACGGTGAGCGCGGACGGTCACCCCACCATCTACGGACGGTGAGACGGACGGTCACTACACCATCTACGGACGGTGAGCGCGGACGGTCACCCCACCATCTACGGACGGTGAGAGCGGACGGTCACCCCACCATCTACGGACGGTGAGCGCGGACGGTCACACACCATCTACGGACGGTGAGCGCGGACGGTCACCCCACCATCTACGGACGGATGAGAGCGGACGGTCACCCACCATCTACGGCGGTGACGGCGGTGACCACCCCACCATCTACGACGGTGAACGGACGGTCACTACACCATCTACGGACGGTGAGCGCGGACGGTCACCCCACCATCTACGGACGGTGAGCGCGGTGACCACCCCACCATCTACGACGGTGAACGGACGGTCACTACACCATCTACGGACGGTGAGAGCGGACGGTCACCCCACCATCTACGGACGGTGAGAGCGGACGGTCACTACACCATCTACGGACGGTGAGAACGGACGGTCACCCCACCATCTACGGACGGTGAGAGCGGACGGTCACTACACCATCTACGGACGGTGAGAGCGGACGGTCACTACACCGCCGACGGACGATGAGAACGGGACGGCTACACCATCGACGACGGTGGTGAGTGGGACCAACCTACGGCCAATGAGAGCAGACGGTCTATGCACCAATACCGACGGTAAACAGGGACCGCTTCACCATCTCCATTCGCCTGAGCGGGGACCGCTGCACCAGCTACGGCTGGTGAAAGCGGGACGACGTCGACACGAACCATGGACGGTAAGCGGGGGCCTTTACACCATTTGGCCGGTGAGCGCGGGAACCACTGCATCAGCTATGGCCGGTGAGAGCGGACGGAGACTGATGAAGGCATGCCACGTCCACGGAGAGGACGGTCCAGATAAAGTGTCAGACCAGCTGACGCCGCATTGGTGCAGAGCGTCAGCCGGCGGTGCAGCGCTGCTGATCGCGACCAGGTGAGACGTTCCGAGCAGGGCTGAGGCAGGCGGCGGGTCTCTCTGTTCGAACGATGCGTAGTAATCCGACACATGACGTGCTCAGGGTGGACTGTGCCTCCAGTCTAGGGTATGTTGTGGCGTGCTGCTGCGTAATGCTGTGACGTCGTGATCTCGGGCTACACGTGCACCCGTTTTTAATGCTTCGACAGGTGATTCGAAATGTTGCGTCACTCACACACAGCACAGCTGTGCCCCGTCCCGCCCGCCAACAGATGTGCCCCTCTGCGGTCACCATAACGTCGTCCTGACCTTCTCCCCTCCCACGGCCGCAGGCAGTGCTTTTACGCCATCCCATGGGAAAACTGGAGCCTGTTTCTGGAGCTGGACGCGCGGGACGCCGTGTTGGAGCGCGTGAACGCTCGCACTTGGTGCACACGTGGGGGCGGCACGTGCGCGAGCGCCGCGTGCCGCTGGCTCCGCGTACCACCAGCCTGGCCGAACAGTACTGCCCCTGGTCGCTGCAGCAGGGCGGGGCCGACTTCTAACCGGTGAGGCATGTCTTGGGCGACGTCTGTAAGGGGAGTTGACGCTTGACTATAACGATGGTCTTTTTTGCCTGTATTGCAGCCTCCTCCCCCCCCCCCCCCCCCCCCCCCCCCCCCCCCCCCCCCCCCACCCCCCCCCCCCCCCCCCCCCCCCCCCCCCCCCCCCCCCCCCACCGTCATAATTCACATTCTGGACAGCAGCAAGAGCGCCGCAAAAAGTCAGGTGGCTCGACGAGAAACAGCAAGAGGACAAGGTAGCAATGAAGCAGTTTTACGCCATGATTCAGCAATTTGTTTGATTATTTTAAGGCTTCAGCTCAACTTGAGTGAAAGCAAACGATACTAATGTGTGTAGACAGATTGCTGTTCTGACGGTACCTCAGCGTGACGACAGGCGTTGAGCAGCGCCTATTGGCTCGTGGAGCAGCTGCTGGATTGCCGGGTATTGGTCGGGCCCGATCTCGGCCAGCAGTACCGCAGCCGTCTTCCGGCTCATACAAAAGCACAGCTGGTGCTGTTGTGGGTCAGCAGTGCGGCGCTCTTGAACAATGTTAGCGTACTCGCCGCGGGCTCGTCGGCGATGGAGAATCTCCGTCACCCATCCCGGATGTCGTTTAGTGTGACGCCGTTGTTCCCCATCAGAAGCCTGGTTTGGGCTTGGGCGATGTTGATCTCCACAGCGACTTGCGCTTTGGATTTCTTACGTCTGATGCTTCCAAGATGTTTCGTGTTTTTGCTGTTATTTGTGTTTGTGACCTCGTGTTATACTTTAGTATATTCCGCTCTGGTTGGCATTACGAGAAATACAAGCGGTCGGATGCTGTTTTGCTATTATTGCTATCTTGCGCATTACTGATAGCAAAAAATGTGGTCGACTCTTTGCAAATACGCATAGTGGCAAAGAGCACTGTTGTTACATGTTTGAAATTTATCCGTTTGTGGTTTTAGAAAAATCCTGGCCAATCTTATCCGCGCGTACACGACTACAAGGGATATTTTTCAATCCGGCGTGTAATTTCCGCCATTCGGCCATTCAGCGACGCGCCGAATACTGTTAGTGGGCGGCCATCTTAGAGCGCTGGTATCGAGCACCGGTAGCCAACGTTCCGCCGCACAGCGCGCGCACCGCCGCCGCGGAGCTGGCTTCCGGTGGACCGTTTGGGTACCTGGCTGCGATCCAGATGGCACAGAATGCATGCCGTCAGAAGTCCGCCAGGCCGGCAAAACGCCGGAGACCAGGCGCAGTATTCCGGAGCCGATGGAGGGAGTCACAGTGAGGCGACTTCGCCGCGTTAGGAACTAGATGGCGTTCGCAGCAGAAGACAGACAAAACCGGCAGGCTGTGTGATTGTTAGCTTGTTTTTCTTGTTTCTTGTTGTTTTTTATTTAGCTTGTTGTTTATGGGGCGTCAACTCACCCTACTCAGTAGAAATTACTCCCCAGCAATCAACTAGGCTACAAGCTATGGCACAAGTGTCAGCAAAATGTTAGGCCTGAAGGCATCCTGAATCTTGTGCCAGATGTGGCAAGTTCTATTCCCAATATAGGCTTCTGCTTTACCCCACATGCTCCAATTATTACAAAACCTAAATCGTTTGAAACACATCCACAAAATCTCCCAAGGCTTTAACACTAACATGATCCTGAATCTAGCATCCTTATTTTACTTTTCAGGGCATTTCTTACGGGCATTTTCAAATACGCACTCTTGAAGGTACACAGACATCGACATAGATTTGAAAGTACTGATTTGAAACAGCTTTAGGCTTCTGGTATTAGCTTTTTTTCTAATTGGCAAGGCACACCAAATATGTCAATGGGGTGTATCAGTCTAAATCTTGCCCCAAAAGCAGCACTTGTGTTTCATTCGTGGCACTACCTGCCAGGCAAGTGCACTCTAAAAGTAAAAATGTCCTGAAACTTTGTGCACGTTGCCGTCATGCACTGGGCTTATCCCCGAATGCTACATCAACCAACCCCACAATGGAATTTTCCACGGCTCCTGTCCCAATAAAACATTATGAAACCTGACTAAATTCCCGTGCCTTTTTCTGAAGTGATTTTTTTGGACAATAATGCTGTCCCCATGCTGATAGTGAAATTATAGCATCAGGTGTGAATTGCAGTTACCTGAACATCTTCACACAGTAAAAAAAAAATGTTCAGAGCACAGATATTCAGTCACATGTCCCATTGACAGCCGTACCACTAAACATACTGCTGGACAGGAACCTGTGCAAAATTGTGTATGCCTCATCTATGCCTCGGCTAAGGTATGGAGGAAGCTAACTTCTACTCACAACTCACACCGCACACCATCGAATTTTGCTTACGCACAATTGTAGAAAATTACGTTATCAGTTTTCAAATCACCGTTTTTGCATCTCATTCAATTCCTTATTGACACTAACAAACTAAGGCGTTGCGCGAACTCGGCTTGACAGTTGCATGACGTCATCAAGTTCATATGAAGAGCTTACGCCTTTAGTGAGCGGTCAAATATTTTATGCAGGAAAGACAGGGCAGTAAGGACGAGGAGCACATTAGAAGCGGTACTGGAAGGACCCTTCCAAAAATTGGGAGGCAGCGAAGTGTACCCACAAATCGTCCACAAATTGTCTCCACACCCGGCAGTGCTGAAAGACGTCTAGGCCACTAAAACACGATATCCTCTTTCAGTGTTTTAATGCGCAAAATTTCATCACGATCGACATTGAAAGCATACGTTGAATAAAACGTTGATCAATGAGAGCATCTCAGTCTCTTCTCACGCAGAGTAGGCATTGATATGAGTCTTCTACTCTCGTAAGAGAGGGGACGCTTTTTTACCGTCTGCAGACAATGTATATACATTGGCGGCATGCGACGTGACATACTTTTTATCAGCAGCAGGATATCCGGGGCACCAAGATGGGTTGTAATGTGTTCGATACCTAATGACATGACGGTTTTAACCAATAACAAATGAGGGTGTAAACGATCATGTGCCTCTCATCGCGACAACAAATGGGAGGGAATCCCATGATAACGAGGGATTCAGTAAGTTTTATAGATGTTCAAATTGCATCTTACGTTTTACCACCTTGGCCTAACATTTAGAACACGCAGTGTTGTAACCACTCAGGAGGTCAAGGCGACCATTAAACATTTTATCAATGTCAGCGATTTTCACGTACCTGATTGGAACCTATGCGAACCATTGTGACCCAATAAATGGAACTGTATTATGCGCGTAGTTCTCTTTCTCCATCCACTCCTTTCACTTCATCAAGTCTGTAAGGAAAATAGGGTGGAATCTGGAAGGATCAAGACGATTATAAGTACATCTGTGGATAGCTTTCAGTAATATTTGTTATTCGTTATGCACTCAGCTGGTTTTGCGGGATTACACACCTGAAAACAGGTGTATCATTGCGCACAATATACTTATCTGAGGTGGGGAGGGCCAGGTGAATATGAAACTTCCATTTTGGTTAAATGTAGACCCTTGTCGGGCAGTTTTTGGGTTGTAAATTACAGTTAAACAAGCCTTCTTTACACAAGGTGACCCGAAGCGGTGAATTTGCATTCGTCGTCACTCCAGTCGAGATGTACGGTCACGAGCACACGGATCGTTGTGACGAATATCAAGTTGGAAATGATGTGAAAAGTGAAAAAGCCCGCAACGCATCCTCTAACTTTGGCAGTAATTTGATTCCCTGCCGTGGATAATTTCATGCGATTATTTGATTTTATCGCAATTCTGTTCACTGAACGACAAGATTTATTCAACTACGCTCACAAGCGGACATGTGGAAAATGTAAAACAGCAATGGATTCATGGGCATGGATGGAAAGCAACAAAAACGGCCGCCATCTCTAGATGGTGTCATTCGCTGGGACCGCCAGCAAAAGATGGCTCGCATTCATTTCTTCCTAACAGGGCACTAAAAAATAACGTAGCGGGCCATTCCACTCACATTCACGTCAGGTGGAGCCAGATCGCCCGATGTGTCGGCACAGAGGTCTCAACGCAACGGTCCGGATCGCTGACCGAACAAAGCCACCGGGCACAGCCAACGGTGGCATCGGCGGCCAGAATCACGTATTTCCCACGCGGAGGGGGGTAAGCATGGCACAGAAAGGCCGGCTCCAGCGACTTCGTCTGCAGGGAGCACTTAGGCAGCGAGCGCCGCCACGTGATGTGCGTCGGGAGCACGAGAGTTGTTGGGACAAGACTTCCGGAGGGTTCATGCACTGCGGAAAAACCGCAGGTACAGGCACCGGCTGCTGCTCTTCAACATGATGCAATAACAACAGGGTAATGTGAGTGAGCTGGTGCCGGACGCGGAGTTCTGTTGTCTGAAACAAGAAGAGAACTCAATATCACCCTCAGTTTTAGAACCGTGACCGGAATACAGGCACATAGACACGGCAGAAATGACGAAGGAAATCGCACTATTTTTACTAAAGTCTTCCACCAAATTTCAACAAATGAATACCGAACACACTACAACACAACATGCTTATTTGATGCTGAATATGTGTAGAACATGTAACTGAATGCTTCCTACACAGCAATCCCGTCAAAAGACAAACCAAAACAATATTGTATACAAGCCTTTAGCTGCCATTTTTGTCCAGCAATTCTAAAATGTCACATTTTGATCAAACAATATGATTGAAAAATGACATCACGAAGCAAATGCCATGATGTAAGCAAATTACAGGACATACGTGTAATATAAGCCGTTTCATTTACATTATAATCAAGTTACGTGTCAGTGGCAGATCTGAGACCCAGGCTGTTTGTTATCATGGAAGCCTTCATTTCAGGGTCATCTTACAAACAACAAAAGAATGATGTAACGTAAAATTTGTGATGAGGTCTTTTTGTATTCATAACGTTTGTTTTATATAGCAACTGTCATGAGGTAGAACAGGTCAGGAGCTGCGAATAGCAGCATCTAAAGTTGCCAAGATCTGGGTAAGCGGTGCGCTGGTTAATGTTGTAACACAAC